ACTAGGGTTTCATATTTGTACCCAAACTTCTGCTAGTTCAATCATTCTTGCCTAGCTATTCTGAAACGCGATAATTTAAAAATGGCATAAAAACACATTAAATACACGGCGTAACCAAATTCTTTCCACCTATTCTTCTGAATGTGCGCACTCTATAAGGTATCGACAAATGTCACGTCTTGGTGGCTTAGAGGCGACTATTTCATCGCCATTCTTGGCCACGAGGTTAATGACTTGGTACTTCTCGGCTGGAAGCTCCACAAAGGCCTATGCTCGTTCGCGCACATATGCTGGGTCAAGAGAGTAACTGAAAATGGTCTCTACAATGCGGAGGTCAATGTATGGGAGTTCAACATTGTGCTCCAGCCCACGAAAGCTGCGTAGCTTGTCTTCCAAGATGTGTCGAAGCTTGTGTATAACCGGGCTTGTCATGCGCGGATATGAATAGCATTCTCAACCCATCCACCTAATCTCCTGTTCCGCGAAGAGCATTGAGGCCCAACACCTTGGCGGGACTAGCAGCACCGATGATGTGTAGTCAGAGGATGTCCAGCGATGAGGTTTTTTAAGAAATCGGGAAATGTCGATATCACTGTTAAAGATGATTACTTCAGCACCGCAATGAAGTTTTTCCACCTCGTCATAGGATGCAACGGTGGACAAGGCCTCAGCGTCAAGCGCACTGTCAGGCTTTTCAAGATCCTGCATGACCCACATCTAGATCTGGAGGCCATTCGCCGCTGTAGTACCAAATATGGCTTCCCACAGTTCAAGCTTAGTCTCATGATGGCGGGGAGGGTGTACAGGCAAGAAGAAGCATGCATGCCAGGGGTTGACAAACCCTTCTCGAGGTATGATGATCAAATGTTGCTTCAATGGTGTAATATTTACGATAAAGACTTAGCAATTGTCTTGTTATGGTGCAGGGAGTCTTGGAGGTATTAGGGCACCTTGACAAAGTAGAGGGCTTCCAGCTATTTGCACGTCCAATAAAATCGGCGCAGGGATGAATGTACACTATTCATAAGTCCGGTATTTTATGGAAAACTACCCAAGAAAGAATGGCATCTATATTGTTTGGTGCTTCCTCGTGGTCTAAGGAGGTGGAGCCGGTTCTTGGTAGCTTTCTTGTCCTTTGTGTCTTTTGTTTATACTAATTTATTGATTTGTGTATAGGTTGTTGCTCCTTTTTCATTACCGTGCTTTGCAATATGCACAATGCGGTAGACGCAATTCATGGAGCAGGCCAGGTGGTGGCACCAATCATCATTTCCAACGATGCCACGATTCTCATCGGGATTGAACGTGCGAAGGTTTAGGTGGTTCACCAGAGCATCTCAAACGTGCACATCCGTCTATGTTGGGGGGATTTTGGGAAGATTCTGCTCGCATTTTTTCTCATGCTAATAACAGCTGAGCAAAAGGTGCAATTATTTCATGCTGCCATGCAAGTCGTCCTCGCGGTCTTGATTCTAGCATACCACACGTGAGTGTTTGACACCCATGATTCTGCACAAACATCACCAAGCACATGCTCCTGTCCGCACATGCTCGCTTCCACATAAGCCTCTGTATACAGCTGCCCCTGTTCGCATATGCCCCAGTCCGCAGATGCCCTTATCCGCACGTGCCCATATCACACACGCTTATAAACTACTTGCACATGATTCCGGGCGAGCATGTTCGAGTCAGCACGAGCGTTTGATGTCACCTGATATATATATTCATGCTGTTGAAGCACATAGAGGGCTTGAAGCCCAAGATCCATGAAGGACGACATAGTCATCTAGCCCCTAATCTTCTCCTACGTTACAGACTTCCAAGAGACCTACAATGGTTCATGCAGTCAGCAGCATGGCAGTTAGATGCCTTGCTCTCTATGCTATGTTGATAGCAGGTAGCTCATGAACATAACGGCAAAGGCATTGACGTCTCATTTTATAGAGCAGCAATCATCTCTAATTGGCAACCCTCGGCTCACACTAATGTACTCCACACTCAGTGTCGAGGTAGGTTCCTCCAATGTTGTTGCACTCTAGCCCATGAATGGCCATGGCAACATGCGTCCTTTGTCCTATCCGTTGAGCCTTGATTTAGCCACATCATTTGGCCCCAATGGCCACAGCTATGTTGTTTTTTTGATGCACGTTTCTCTAGGAGTGGCATTTTTCTCATTTACTTTGGGGGAACACGTACCTGTCCCATATGCCGGACATCCTTCACATCATCTATTTAGGATTCTGGCTGTATCTTCGCATTGCAATGCGGGGACAAAATCGACGGGTCATCACCCTCGACGCGTATGTGTGTCCAGTGAACTAGCTAGTGTGGCACGACCTTATGCATGTGGTAAACCAGTGCTTTCAATCTTCCAAAAATAACAAGCAGCTTCTGTTCATGGTGTTATCTCCACTGTCCCCATCATCCCAATGGTGCCAAAATCCACTACACCCACGTGCTAGGTAAGCTGGCTTGATAATTCCTAGTGATGCGAGCTACTGGGTCTTTGGTGCAAACTTAACCACGTTGAAGTATGCAAGTGTCATGATGGTGAGGGCTTCCTTCTTGATCCCGGTCTTTGGCTGGTCCTTGTCACATTGTTGTAACATGTTTGCCCCCCTCGTCCAATGGCTTATGCTCACTACTCGTGACGAGTGTAGCGGATCGTTCCCTTTGTACTGGAGGGCAAAGCGTGTATCATCAGCAGGCACACGATTGTTGCGTTTTTGGACTAGCACGCTACATTCTGCGAGCATCGGAGCACACTGATGAGAGTCTAAGCGTATTCTACACTGCCACACGCATGTATGATGCGTTGTCCCCCGTAGCAGGTAGGCGGTGTCGATATTGCTCGTAGGCCAGATTGCACTTTTTAGGTCTGGCGGAGTCCAGAAAAGGCCAGTTCATACCCACTTTTTCTTTCCTTTGGAAAGTGCAGTTGGTGGAAAGCACCTTCCCTCACGAACACTAATGGTGGAACCTTGTCAAGATCCACCTGTTCCTCCTCCTTCCAAAGGCGATTCTAAGGGGGGAAAGGGGAAAGGGGGTAGGAGGAGGGGAGGAAGAGGGCTTCCACGAGATCTCTTTGCGGTCGTATATAAGAACTAACACGTCTCTACAGCTACGACCCGTTTCCTGCATGGGTAAGTGCCTTGGTCATATGCCACAGCTCTCATTCATATAAAATTCATCTCTAAACCCATACAACACAATCCATGTGTCCTTGAAATCAAACCACGTGAATCATGCCTTGCGCAAGCTAAATTAAGTTCTCAACAATAGTCTCCCCAACCCTATTTTGTGTACGGCTCACACAGGTCCATACCTCACTCGCTCTACCCGCCTGCAAGACAGACCACGGCGTGATCGGGCCACATTATGCTTGCGCCAACCCCTCACATCATGATTACCCCATCGTCTCCTTCATTGAGTATGAGAAAGGCAGCAGGGAGACCAAGCACGGTCGTCTGCACCTTCTTTTGACACTGATAATGAACAACGGGGACGCACAACCTGCGGGAGAGGCGCCTTTTTAAGGCAGTGGGTTCTCTCTCAAATGGATGAGTGCATCGACTGCATTAGGATGTTGCATCTGGACGACGAGCTGAGCTATAACATGGTGCCAATCACGGAAATGCAGATGTGCACATGGTGGAGTCGTTTGTGACCCCTTATAGCAAAATTATTGCTGCATGGGTATACAAAGCTTTCTAGTCATTGTCCGGGTGCGCATGACTGCTGGATACGCGATTTGTTGCATCGGATGGCATATCATCGCTAATAACTAACAATATGAAACAATATTTTTCTACGTCTCGAGCCGTTGTTTTAAGATGTATGGAAGATGTTGGCCGGCTTACCGTTTTCATGCCTGGCACAGTGAGTAATAAAGGGGGCAATGCTGTAGGTTGGGCATCGATGCCCGCAAGGCATGCAATGTTTCAGCCATGGCTATACCCAGCCGCGCAGCCAATGAACAAACAGCCCTACATGTCCATTATGATGAGTGGCTTTCCTCGAACGTGCACTCGTTCAGCTCGGCAGCCAAAGCGATATTGACCCAACAGTGGGTAGATAAATCTACGGGGGCAGAGGGGCGGCTATTGCTTGCATTCCCTGCCGGATAAATGTGGCTATGGCGTCGGGCATACGCAAGGCCAAGGTAACTTGTAGCACTTGGCTTATCCCATGCTCGTATAGCTGATCATTGTTACGAATAGTAAATTAAGAGAGAATGCGGTGCACTTTTGATAGCAACAAAAGAAGCACGCAGTATTGGAGCTGGAGACGAAGGGTCAGAAATGACATGAAGTGACGCGAACAGTAGGAGAGCATCTAGACCGTCGGAGCAGGCAACATCGAGCAACTGCAGGTGCGAGGAAATTGGCAGGAACAATTTCATAACTGTACGCGCCGTACGGTTGCGATTAAATCTGAATAAAGGAATGTACCCATTGTAGTACATGGCTAGCTAGAATGTTTGGTATTCCCTATGTACTCATATTTATACGCATGTATTTGCTTGTGTTAATCATCTCAATCATTTTACATTCACTCTGATTTGAGGTCAAGGGCCCACACACCCTATGCGAAACTTTCCGGCCAACGATCAACTTCTGATCGCAGCATGGTATGAGAGCGAATCGGAAATCCTTCGCAACGCCACCTCCAAAATCTTCGGCAATCGAAAAGTGGCGTCCGGCACACGCTCGCACGTAAGAATGGCCGGATGATCTGGAGGTCAGACGAATCTGACCGCTGAAGAACAGTCCAACTCGGCTGCGATAAACAAGGAAACAACGACGATTGGGACAGCCGTCCTTGCACAACTGCTTGGAGCAAGGACTCCAAACATTGCGGAATGGCGACACATGAACATCTTCCCAACCCTCTCAACTGGCCTCAAATGGCCACAGTACCGCCCCGCACACCTTCTCCCTCGAAACAAATGGATCAACTCCCAAGACTCTCCGTCCCTGCGAAGAAGCAATCCTCTCAGCTCAATCCAGGTTCCAAAGCACATAAAAAGAAAGAAAAAAAAAGAGAGTCAAGTTTTGAAGTTGTTGCTGTTGTTGCTGTTGCTGTTGTTGCTGTTGTTGTTGCTGTTGTTGTTGCTGTTGTTGTTGCTGTTGCTGTTGTTGCTGTTGCTGTTGCTGTTGTTGCTGTTGTTGCTGTTGCTGTTGTTGCTGTTGTTGCTGTTGTTGCTGTTGCTGCTGTTGCTGTTGTTGCTGTTGTTGCTGTTGTTGCTGTTGCTGTTGTTGTTGTTGCTGTTGTTGTTGTTGTTGTTGCTGTTGTTGTTGTTGCTGTTGTTGTTGTTGCTGTTGTTGCTGTTGCTGTTGCTGTTGCTGTTGCTGTTGCTGTTGCTGTTGTTGCTGTTGCTGTTGTTGCTGTTGCTGTTGCTGCTGTTGCTGTTGTTGCTGTTGCTGTTGTTGCTGTTGCTGCTGTTGCTGTTGTTGCTGTTGCTGTTGTTGCTGTTGCTGTTGTTGCTGTTGCTGTTGTTGCTGTTGCTGCTGTTGCTGCTGTTGCTGTTGTTGCTGTTGTTGCTGTTGTTGTTGCTGTTGTTGCTGTTGTTGTTGTTGTTGTTGCTGTTGTTGTTGTTGTTGTTGTTGTTGTTGTTGTTGTTGTTGGTGTTGTTGTTGTTGTTGTTGTTGTTGTTGTTGTTGTTGTTGTTGTTGTTGTTGTTGTTGTTGTTTTTTGGTTTTTTTTTTTTTTTTTTTTTTATTTTTTTTTAACGGCAGATATTTCTATACGTGGAGCTTCAAGCTGGAGTTGCTGCTGCAAAACGCGTAGATATTTCATTACTTCGACAGGAGCTATGCGGGACCTGTTGAAGACACCGCTTACGCGAGGGCACAATATTACAATGAGTCATTGATAGCGTACGGCGTCTTACTACGAAACATGTCGCCGGCGGAGAAGCTGAGCATCCGGTCGTACAAGACAACGTTTGCTCCAGCCCTCAAAGCCTGGCGACAGCTGAACGGTGTATATCAACCGTAAGGATTCGTTTTCATCAAAATGCCTGCTCCAGCAGCTACTGGAGACAAAAATGGCCCCAGGGGAGAAGGCCAACAACTACATCAATTGTTGTCGGAGCTTACACGATCAAATCGCGAAATTGGGAAGCACCATTTCCGAAGAAATCTTCGTGAACATCGTGCTTCAAGGGCTTGGCCCAGAATGGCGGTCCTGCAAGGCGCTGCTCCGACAGTAGGGGGCTATTTTGGAAGTCGTCTTATGCGCTGCCCTCCTCGTCGAACAGAGAGACATGGACCAGCAGCGACCAGCACCGCGACGAGACCAGGAACGCCTCGCTTTCTACATAGACTACACAGAAGAGCGACGGCCGCGGCGCCTTTACTGCAAAGTCTGCAGAAACTTCGGGCACTTGGCAGAGCAATGTGAAATCCGCTCTCGCCCTCGCCAGACCAACCCGAGCACCTGGACCGGCCAACAAGACGCACGAAATGATACACATCAAGCCCAGGGGTATCAACCCCCATCGCGCAACCTGAACCCAGCGGTTCAGCAGCAGCAGTAGCAACCGTCACAGACTGCTCCCGTCCGCAACGTCATCGGCAACATGACCATGACAAGCGGATGATCTCGCCGTCACCGCGTGCGCATGCCGTCACCAGAACCAGCACGCCACCCAATCGGGGCCTTCACAAACAACAACCCGTTCAGCACCCGCCACGATTTCAGCAACGACGACAATCAGGACTGGAATCTTCCAGCCTCGCTACTTGAGAGTCCCCCGCACGTACCTGATTCGTGGGCGGCACCAATCGATTGGATCTCGCCGCGAGCAATTTCTAAAGCTCGACACACCGCACAGTGTCACACCGCGATTGGCGCTGCTTGCACATGACGACAACAAGCGCTACAATACTTGGTACTTGGACAACTGTTGCGGGCTGCACATGGTCGGATCCGAGCGCTTTGTCTCCAACGCCGTCCCGACCCATACGGTCACTTACGTCACCTTGGCGAACAATATCCGCCTGTGCGCATGCGTGCAAGGAATCATCGTGCTCAAAGCACGTGGAAGCCGCACGCACATCACGCTGAATGATGCAGTCATAGTCCAGAACATGCTCTTCAACCTTCTCTTCGCCACTCAACTCATGGATTGCGGCGTCGAATTGAGCACGGACCCTCGCACGCGTGACATCCTTCTGCACTACTCATCGCCGATAAAAACGCGCGGGTCGATTGGACGCGCTTTGAGAATGGAGTGTACATCTTCGATTTTGACATTTTCGACTGGAGCGGCGACTCGAACGAGCTGATCGACCTGGTTCCACTGCGCTTCGAGCACATCCACTGTTCGGACTAGAACCACCCTGACGGGAAGCCGTGGGTGCCACATCACCCGCACCGGTGTGAGCTGGCCCTACATGACCCTGATCTGGACGGCATCCGCAGAGACTTCCATACGCCCACTGCCTCAACAAGCGCAATTGCCGGCCGTGGTCTCGCCGCCATAGCCGACCGAACGATCCACGCCTCCAGAAGAAGGAATTTCAGCGCTAGAGCTAGAAGTAGCCAATCAGCGCATCTTCGGCCCCAACCAGAACCCACTTGCGGGTTCCCCCTCCCGGCGGCTCTACCCTCCCATCGGCTCGAAGACATCTTGCGAGGATAGCGCCGCGTAACTCTCGACGCGTGCGGAGTGGCGTGCCCCTACACAAAATAAGAATTTATGAAGTTGTACCCACACTGGCACGACCCCACGACAACACTCACCGTGGAATAAGAAGAGGAGCTGGCACGCCACGAAGCCAACGAGCATCGCCAGAAGAGCATCGCAGAAGCGCGCGGTACGTTTTCCTGCACTAATTGGGGAGCAGAGGAGGAAAGTGTCTCCAATGAAGGGGGGTGGTGGCGTTTGCCTTGCGGACGAAAAACGAGCGACACTGGCGACTGGGGTGCCGCAACTGGCGGTGACATAAGCGGATGGGGCACTTCCGGTGAAGGCTGGAGTGCCCGACGAGAAGAACAAAGGGGGGAAGCAGAGGTGACTGTAGTAGCCGAACCGCGCATTGTTCCTTTCGGCTGCCCCCCACGCCTTCCCGCACCTCCTCTGTCCCCGCCTGACATCCAGCTGCACCGCGACCCCTGGGACACCATCGACTGGGGCAACGAACCGTCGACTCCGTGCCGCATAGTCTACGGCCCTTATCCTGAGCCGCGCGAGCCTACCTTCATCCCTGGCGTGATCCCCGGTACCAGCATTCCCCTCTCCGTGATCCTCAACAGAGATTTTTTTGCGCTGATGCTTACGACGGCGAACGACGAAGAAGCTGAAGAAGCAGCAGCGGAGCCTTCCTTAGTACCAGAAGGAGACCCTGAGACAGTGCGTGTGTGTGTGCTTCATACGCACCTCTAGGTTCCGCGCCACCGACGACCTTTGGCACCAGTGCCTCGGTCATCCCTCGCGCGCAACGCTAAAATACTGCATCGACGCAATCGTATTCGCACCTGGTGCTCTCTTGCGCCCTGGCGGCTCCGAAGTGAGGAGCACATTACAGCCGCGCGATTGCATCGTCTGTTCCAAAGCTGCAATATGCCACCAACCCTTCCCCCTGCAATATGCACAAGGTGTACAGCGATTTCCTCGTCGTTGGCCATTGCAAGCAGTACAGCGATTTCCTCGTCGTCGGCCACTCACATTCGTTGACGCGGGGACCTGCCACATGTGGGTCGTCAACGTTGAACTAGGCAGCAGTGCATATGAGGCCTTCCGCCTCTGTCTGGCGCACGCGTAGTGACAGTCTGGGAAGAAAATGAAAATCTGGCAATCGGACGGCGCAATAGAATTTCGCAGCAAGGAGTTGCAGGACTAACTGGCGCAGAAAGGGATCAAGCACCCATCACATCTCCCTCCCCTACGCACACCAGCAGCAAGGCGTCGCCAAGCGCACAAATCGCACGCTCATGAAAGAGTTGCGTGCTTTCCTGAAGCAATCAAAACTAAGCCAACATACCGGACCTACACGATGCACCATGCCGTGCGGGTGCATAATCTACTGTCAATTACCGCCATCACCGACAAACTGTCCCCGCATCTGAAATGGATGGGCACGAAGGTCGAAGGGCGACACAACCATGCTCCGCGTGTGGGGGTGCATGGTGCAATACCGCCCGCCGACATCAACCATCGGCAAATTTGCAAGCCGCGTGTGCTGGGAAATCAACGTCGGCATCAGCCAAGAGTACAAGGCATGGCTCATCCTGGACCTTATCAGCCAGAAGACCACGAATGCACGCGACATAATTGTCAAACATTATACATGTTATATTTGTGTAGGCTATAGTGGGTTAGTCTATAGGGGGGTCACAACTCTAGGGTTTCATATTTGTACTCTCATTCCTTTCTAGTCCAACAACACTTGTTCATTCTAACATGGTATTACGAGCCTAGGTTAGGCACCTAGGACCGCCTACTACTACGGGCCCACCGTTCCGTTAGAAGCGCCCTCGTGCGCCCTCGTGCGCCTCTCACTACCGCGCGCGCGCAGCCCGCTAGCCACCCGCGCGCAGCCCGCTTTCCGTCTGCGCAGCCCGCTAGCTACCCGCGCGTGGCCCGCTTGCCATGCGCGCGACCCGCTAGCCACCCGCGCGCGGCCCGCCAGCTCCCCGCGCAGCCAGCGCCGCTAGCGCGCGGCCCGCCGCGGCCGTGTGCGGCCCCGCGCGCAGCCCGCGAGCTGCTCGCCGCCTCGCGCTGCCGTCGCTCGCACGCAGGCCGCAGCCCCGCGCACCCGCCTCCCGTACGAAGGCTGCAGCCCGCGCGTCGCAGCTGCCCGCACGCCGGCCGCCTCCACGCAGCTGCCGCCCGCGCGCAACTGCAGCCCGCGCGCCGCAGCTGCTCGCACGCCGGCCGCCTCCGCGCAGCTGCCGCCCGCGCGTAACCGCAGCCTAAGCACCGCTGCCGCCCGTGCGTAGGCCCCCGCCGGACCGTCGACCCCGCCCGCCCCCCGCCTAGCGGCCCCGCCGGCCCGTCGATCCCGCCCGCGTCCCGCCTAGTGTCGCGAGTTCATGGAGTATGTAAGGGAGTGTACATATTGTATATTTGTACAGGTAATTGAGAGGAAGTGTACCGAGGATAGGGACCGAGGCTAGGATGATGGCTGGGCGATGTTGGGCTGCCGAGTCAGCAAACAGCCGCATGGGTGGAGTGGGGAGGAGTGACAACTGGACGGAGCTTTTGTTTCGTGTGAAGAATGCATGTTTCTTTCCCTGCAGGTTGGATGCCCGAGCCAGCTGGAATACAGGCACGAGCTGGAGGTCAAGCAGTGGGGCGGCTAAGTGGCAGTGGATAGAGGATGAGAAGGCTGACCTTTCGCTTCGGTGGGAGGTCATCACCTTCGAGGGGGACTTAGTGGTGTAGCAGTAGGCGGAGGGTGCAGGGACGGATATTGGGGGTACGGGCATTTGACTCTGTACTATTTGTATGTTCTGTATTACTCATGTGATTGCTGTAAGATTGTGCAACCGTGAGCATCAGGCCATAACAAACTACGTAGGAATGAAGATGGTGACCTAGGCGAGTGTGAGTAAGCTGAGAGGCTTATCACATACAAACAGTCGTGGTGCTAGTATTATGCGCACGAGAGGAGGGACTGAGTACGGTGTTGAGGAAACGACTGGGAACGCGGAGGCGGTGGTGAAGGGGAAAGCGGGAGGGATGAACCAAGGAACGGACACAAGGAGTGAAGAGGCGCGCGATGATGGCTCGCCAAGAAGAGGGGTGGACGAGACGAACCGGCTGGAGAAGGAAGAGAAGGAATCCAGCGAGGCTGCTAGGAAGGAAACGCGTTCGGAAGGAAGACCGACGCGCGTCACCGGCGAAGATCGTCCGACTGGCTCTTACCAGCGGAGCATGTCGTGGCATGAGGAGGCGTCGGCGCAGCGGTGGAAATATACGCTACTGCCGAAGATCGAGGTTCCGGAGCGCTTCTCGGGAGAAACGCGGAAGGGACCAACAATCAAGAACTACGTGATGCAGCTGGATAATCTGCGGGCGAGATGGGAGAGAGATCGGCTCGATCCGGAAGAGTTCTTCAGGGGGCTCGCGAATACGCTAACGGGAGAAGCGGAAACCTTCTACCGTCTGAGTAGGAGAGAGC